GATGGAATACACAAAGTCACAGTACCATAAGGAAATAGACGATGTCCAAGTGTTTCAAAAGGTAGCATATGATCAAGAGTCAATGGAAATGAAGGAAGAAGTCCAAGTTGTACTGAAGGCACTGACAAAGAATAAAGGCCCTGGGAATTGCTGGAATACAAATCAAAATCTTTCAACAAATTGATTCAGCATTGGAGGCACTCATTCATCTATGTCAGGAAATTTGGAAGATCTGGCCAACTGACTGGAAGAGATCTATATCTGTGTCTATTCCAGAGAATGTGGAGAATCATCAGACAACATCATTAATATCACATCCAAGTATAATTTTGTAAATGTAATAAAAACAGCTGCAATAGTACATAAGCAGGGAACTGCCAGAGGGTCAAACTGGATTCAGATGAGAATGTGGAATGAGGGATATCATTGTTGACATCAGATGGATCTTGGCTTAATGCAGAGAATACCAGAAAGTTGTTACCTTTGCTTTGTTGACTATGCACAGGCTTTCGACTGTGTGGCTCATGATAGACTATGGACAACATTGTGGAAAATGAGTATTCCAGAACACTTAATTGTGTTCATGAGGAATCTGTACATAGACCAAGAGACAGTCGTTCAAACAGAACAAGGGGACACTGGATAGTTTAAAATCGGGAAAGGTGTGTGCCGGGGTTCTATTCTTTCACCATACTTTTTCAATCTGTGTACTGAACAAATAATCCAAGAAGCTGGATTATATATGAAGAAAAATATGGCATTGGGATTGGAGGAAGACTCACTAACAACCTTGCTTGCTGAAAGCGAAGAGGGCTTATAAAGTACTTATTGATGAAGACCAAAGACCACAGCCTTTGGTATGGGTTGCATCTCAATATAAAGAAAACAAAAATCCTCACCACTGGACCAATAAATAACATCATGATAACTGGAGGAGAGACTAGTTGTTAAAGACTTCATTTCGCTTGGATCCACAATCACTAATCACGGAAGCAGCAGTCAAGAAATCAAACAACATATTATTACATTAGGCAAATCTGCTGCACAAGACCTCTTGAAAGCATTCAAGAGCAAAGATATTTGTTTGTGGACTAAGGTGTGCCTGATCCAAGCCATGGTATTTTTAAAAGCTTCAAATGCATGTGAAAGCTGAAAAAGAATAAGAAAGACCACAGAAGAATTAATGTATTTGAGTTGTGGTGTTTGAGAAGTATTATTAAAAGTATCATGGACAGAAGAAAAATAAATCTGTGTTGAAAAAAGTAGACAGAATTTTCCTTAGATGCCAGGATGGCGAGACCTTCATCTTGCAATCTCCCTACCTCTTACCAGGAGGGACCACTAGGTAAAGCGGAAGAGCAGTGATAAAGAGAAGACCCCTGACAAGATGGACTGGCACAGTGACAGCAGCAATGGGCTCAAGCTCACTGACTGTGAGGATGGCGCAGGACTGGGCAGTGTTTCGTTCTGTCGTGCATAAGGTCGCTATGAGTCAGAACGGACTTGATGGCATCTAACACCACCACCAATTACGAGCCTGAACTGGCTCAATGGCAGTGGCTTTGTTTGATCTGTGTTAGCTACGTAGGTCAACAGCCCTAACTTTTTGCTGGAGTGCCCTGCCTAATGTCTTCCCAAGGTTACTAATATTTCAAGGCTTTTGGTTTTTGCCTCGGAATTCAGTTTTGGGAACTTACAACACTATTCTGGCTCTTCAACACTTACTGTCTTTGGTGGACATGGAAATGCATGCTTAGACCCCCTTTCAGGAAGGACTTGCTCTTCTACTACAGACTACCTCTGCCAGAACATAGCCACTGTCCAACCCTCTTTCCCTTCACAGAAGTTAACTCCCAAAACCACATTTTACCTTAAATTTCGTTTTAGAGTCTGCTTCCAACTTATTTTTATGTCTCTACAAAGATGCACATAAATCTGTGTAGCTATATATCTATATATCAAGATATAGGAGTCCTGGTGTGGCACTGTGGGATAAAGCACTTGACTGTAAGGTTGGTATGAACCACAGTGGCGGCGGTTTAAGCTCACTTGGAAACCCTCTACTGGGTCACTGTGAGTCAGAACCGACTTGACGGCACTTAACAATAACAACATCATCTAAATATAAGGACTCATAGTGTGGCACTGTAGGATCAGCACTAGACTGTGAACCACAAGGTCAACAGTTCAAACCCACCAGCTACTCCTCGGAAACCCTATACAGGGTCGCTGTGAGTTGAAACAACACAATAGCACTTAACAACCATCTAGATATATAAACAAACACATAGATCAACAGTATAGCTATGTCTATACATAGAGCCTTGGTGTGGTGCTGTAGGATACGTAGTAGACTGCTAACTGCAAGTTTGGCGGCTGATACTCAGTAGCCACTCCTTGGAAACCATGTATCTGTGTATATATACACACACATATACATATATATATAGGAGCTCTGGTAGCGTAGTAGTTGCGAATCAGGCTGCGAGCTGCAAGGTTCCAGCTGTTCCGCGAAAGAAAGATGAGGCTTTCTGTTCCCGTAAAGATTTATAGCCTTGGAAACCCTGTACAGGGTCGCTATGAGTTGGAACCAACTCCACGGCACATGACCATCATCATACAAACATATATATATACATCTAACATAGCCAAGCCAGGGAGGTTTTTTTCCCCAGTTTCCTTTTCATTAGCTATATACTTTGCAACTTGACATACCCTGTTTATGCCACTTAACAGCAAGACCAAAAAAATTAAATAAGAATGATGTGATGATAAAATTATATAGCACATTCTAACAACATCTACTTGTGAATCAGGATATCTAGAGATGAAATTCACTATATGTTCTATGTTTAATCTCAGATTATAATCTTGGAATAGGGAGAGCTAAACAAGTAAATAATATTCCATGGACTCCTGGTGTGACACTGCAGGATCAGCACTGGACTGAAAACCACAAGGTGGGCAGTTCAAACCCACCAGCTGCTCCTTGGAAACCCTATATTATGAGTTGGAACTGACTCCATAGCACTCACCAGCAGCATCAGCAATGTGCTAGGAAACAGCAGGGGTCATGAATCCCAGGTGCTTACCTGAGAAGCTGAAGAAAGGACAGAGGTCAGTGGGAAGAATAGTACAGTAGCAGTACTGTTGACAAGGGGAAGGGAAATAAGCTTTTGGTAATCCCCTTTAAGAAAATAGGTATATAAGGCTAAAAATGCTGATCTGCCTGTTTCCATTTTAAAACATTTTAAAAGCATACTCAGCACTTTGCTGGGATTTGGTCTGTTATGGTATTGTGTGTTGTGATACCCAGTGCACATCCAACACATGATCAAGATCACAGATGCAGGGTGAATAAATGCAAGGTTCACATTTCTTGAAAATAAAGAACATTTGGGTAGAAAGTGTTTCAGTGGCAGAATAAAGCTCTTGAAAGTTCTAGTCCAATTTGTCAATCCAATGCAGTACGCTACAGATGAAGGAGCAATGAAAACTCCATGTCTACAAGAGGATAGGACCAAGAGACACCAGGGCTGTGACTTACCACAAACTCAGAATAGGCTGAGTCACATGCCTTCAAGGGATCTTGGAGTAAGGTCTAATAAGTGTTGAATATCAGGGATGTACTAAAGGCTTTCTGTGTTCCCATAGGAAACGTGTTCTTTGAAAAAAGACTCATTTAGACTGAGTTATTTGGGATCTTACACACCTACTCGTTTATCCAACAACAGTAAAAAGCTATGATCCATTTTGCACATTAACAAGGGGGCAGGCACAATGGCAATGGCTGTGGAGCACCCCTCCCTTGAGGAGGGATCCGGACAGCCTCTGGGACGCTGGGCTGTACTGCCCCAATGACCTCTTCCCTCCACTCCCTCCTACTGGAGGGGGCGCTGTATCCAACTGCAGGGCTGGGGCAGCCTGCTCCCAACTCCCGAGGCCCAAGAACTTAAAACTGCCACTCTAGGGAAGAACAAGAAAACAAAAGATATTGGAGAGGGCTTTTGGAAGAAATGCTTGCGAATTTCATGGCATCCCAAAGTAAGCCAAACTGGACCTTGGTGACTTCTGTGCCTGGAAGGCAGAGCAGGCTCAGGAATTGTGAATGCAGGGCTGGCAGGGGTGGGGAAGGAGCCTGGAGAAGCTCTGAGCAGGCACAGCAGGGAGATGAAAGGTTAAGCCCTGGGCCCTCCAGTAACACAGTCTGGCTTTATCCAGCTTTGTTTTCTCCAAGCCTTTTTCCTGAGGAACAGTTCAGAGCTGAACTCATCATAGTGATGAGCGCATTAGTAACTCTTAGATGTTATTATTTCTGTGGTCATATTCTCAAAAACATTTTTCAAAATCACACAAATGGATGCTCTGAAAACAGAAGAAAAAAAAAAAAGAAAAACAAAAAACAAAAACCCAACCCTCCATTTTGCCTGACAAAATGTCCTGTTCTTTGGAACTAATCATGTCAAGAAGTGTACTTATTGAATAAGGAAGAGGCAGACGTGAAGAGCTCTATCCTCTCTTGACCTTTGCTCTGTATCAAGGTTGCTCTGGTTCTCAATCATGGCCCGCCATGGCCCACAATCCAGACCCTCCTCTGTGCCTACACAAGATCACTCACAAGGGCTTCTCACATGGCTCACAAACTTAAGGGATCCTGAAACTAACTATGGAAATCTGGCATACAATCACGGCACACAATCGTTTGAAAAGTACAGAAATACAACACACTCCATCAATACACATGCAATTCTTACAACCTTGCTTTACCTTCATTACTTTTCATAAGAGTCAAATAAAGCTCGCATAATAATCCAGCTGTCATATACGAACTACGGATAAGATATTAAAATGTAAAACATGCCCTCAGATGATACTGACTGAGATGAATTATGGCTCTAGAGAGGCATTTTCACATCTTAAATCAGCACCATTAATAAGCTCAATAATATGTCTAAAACAATTATTTTAAATCAAGAAATATGGTAGAAAATATACATTACCTTGATTATGAAGAATATCATCAATTACAGTAGGGATTCTAACATCGGGCACCACTTCTCCCTTAGGATGAGATGGCTGTGAAGTGCTTGAGTCAATGTTTGGAGTCACTATAGCATAACGAAGCAGTTCTTCATACTCTTCCTAAAGAAGCCAATAATCAAGAATGGATTATAACACTGTCATAAGGGACATGCAGAAGAAAGAATGATACAGGTAAAGTCAGAGATGCGCTCTACTTCAGTTCTCAAGATGGTGTTCCCTTTGGAAATGTGTACTTTCATTTCATCATCAGAACTCTATTACAATAATTAAATTTCTTTAAAAACAAAAACTAAAAAATATACCTACCTAAATTTCCACAGGTGACAATACCTGATTACCCAGATTCCTTTAGTATGTCAATTTAACAATGGTGACAACCACACTACCTAGAGTCGTCGCTGGAAGTCCATTAAAGTTCATCAACATCTACAACACAGGTGAGCTCTTCCCTAGGTTCGGAAGCTTGCTGGTGGGAAGACACAGCTAGTCAGCTTTTTCCTTTTTTCTGAATTTTAGGTCAAAGGTGTTACCCAAAAAGACTCCATAGCAACAAAGCCTAGGTATGAGTTTTGGCTCTGGCTAACCCCACAGCAACCTGAGTCTCTTCTCACATAAGCATTGGAAGAGCATAACCGAAATATTGGCAGACAAAGAACACTGAAGATAAAAGAGAAGGTAAAAGCCAACCTATTCTAGCCTCTTCCTTCTCCCGTAGAGTGGCTGGTGGGTTTGAACCACCAACATTTTCGCTAGCACTCCAACACTTAACCCACAGTGTCATGAGAAAGGAGTGATGAAAAAGACAAGTCACAAATTGTAGACTTTACAGGAACTGTTGTTGTTAAGTGCCGTTAAGTCCGGACCTGCAGAACAGAGGAGAACTGCCCCGTAGGCCTCCAGAGGCTTTCCTGTGGAGCAGATGCTGGGTTTGAATTAACTTTTCAGTTAGCAGTCCAAAGCCTGACCCACTGTGCTTCCAGGGCACCTTGATATCTATTGTTAAGTGATGTTGAATTGATTCTCACTTACAGCAGCCCTGTATAGGGTTTCTGAGTTCTGAGTGGCTGGTGTGCTTGAACCGCCGATCTTGTGGTTTAAACCGACCTTGCAGTGCAGCGCAATAACCCACAGTGTCACCACACTCCCCCCAAATTTTAGGTTACATATAGAAAAATCCAATGTACAGCATTTTACTGGTCACAATTGTCTAATTATATGAAGTCTTGGTGTAGCTCTGTAGGATAAGAACTGGGCTGCTAACCACAAGGTTGGTGGTTCAAACCTACTAGCCACTCCTTGGAAACCCTGTACAACAAGGTCTTATGAGTTAAAATTGACTCAATGACACTTAACAACAACAAATTGTAATATCTGTATCGTATCAGTTTTTTAGTTATTAAGAGCAAACTCCTAAATTGGAGCTCTAGTCAAGCTATTCAATGGTTCCTACAAACATCAAATTTTAAGAGCAGTAACTCCTTGGAGTAGAGCCTGAGAACAGTCCAGCAGCACCCATGTCCCCTGTGTTCCTTTCAGTTAATAAAACCCCAGGTTTGATCTGGACAAAGGACCATCCAGCTATATTGCCTTAAAGCTAAGTGTGGTCAAGTGACAAACTTTTAGTCTATAGGATCTGAATGGAAATACTGCATACAACGTCAGGTCAAGTCCTTAAAAGGAAGCTACACTTGCTTTCTACTTCTTGATCTCCTCTTCCTATGGGTTAGAGGTTGTGAGCCCACTCTGATGATGCAAGCAAGCTGAACACTCTAAAGCATGGCGGAGCAATGAGAGAAAAAGAAGAAATTGGGTCCTCAGATGCCTTCAGGACAATGCACAAGCTCAGACTTTTCAGAGAGAAACAAACTTTTAGTCACTCACTTAAGCTACTCTTACTTGGTTTCTGTTCTATTATATGAGGGGGCCTGAAAGACTTCATGGAAAAATTCCATTTCTTTTCATGACTTCATGACTTTCTGAAGTCCCCTCATACTTCCATGATTTTGGCTATGCACATATAAAAGTTGGCTGTCTTAATTTTTTAAAGTCTCAATTACTGTTGGCAATTACAACTAGAGGTAGTCTGTGAGGTGGGGGAGCTGGGAGAGGAAGTGAGTGTGGCTGTAGCTTGTGGTTTACCTAGTTTGACCTCTGTTCTAGGTCAGGAATAACAACACAGTGACTCACAGAGGAGGTAAATAAGCATATGTGAAAAGTAGTCAATGTGCAATTATAATTTATGTTAAGAAAAGATTTTAAGGATCAGTTATTTAAACAACTATTTTACAACTTCATTTACAAGGGGCTTCAAAAAGTTCGTGGAGAAATGGAATGAAAAGATAATGGAGGGGATTGTAACCATGGCAACAAAACGATATACGATAGGATGAATGTAAAACTAATATTCTCCCATGTAACCTATCACATAATTCACAAAAAAACATTGGAAAAAAAACAAAAAACAATCAGCATATTGTGTACAAATGAGAATGAAAAAATGGCAGCCGGAGAAGAATTTGGGGCGATTCCTGATGAAACCGGCTTGCCTTCCAGCTCTCAAAAAAAAAAAAAAAAGATAATGGAATTTTTCCATGAACTTTTTGCAGCCCTGTTATATGCTGGTACAGGTCAAATATATTACTATTCTATTAGAAATCAAAATAAATGATACCACCTTTGTTAGTTATCAAAAATAACCAGTCTTAAGTTAATAAGAACCCTAAAGTAACAATCAAAAACTAACTGACCTCCTAACAGATGAAGGGACTCTGTTGGCTGACATTATGAGCAGGTACCCAAGAGCCAATGATACAAAATGATTTCAAACTATCTAGAAGGTTCCCACCCTTCTCCCCCTTAAAGTCCATTGCAGAGCCCAATTAGCTGAAAAGAATGCACTAAGTGGAAGAGGTGCCATCAAAAGGAAGGGACAGAGAAAACCAGTGTTCCAATTAGACCACTTTTAAGCACTGGGCTACTAACCGCAAGGTTGGCAGTTCAACCCCCCAGCCGCTCCACAGGAGCTGGATGTGGCTGTCTGCTCCTGTTCAGATTTACAATCTCCGAGCCTAGGGAGCAGCTCTACTCGCTCCTAACTATTGGGTTGCTACAAGTTGAAATCAACTCAATGGCAGTGTGTTTGGTTTTTGGGCTTTGTTTTTTTATCCTAGTAAATTCAAATATTTCTACAATATCTTTCTAATTTCTAAATCCGTAATTTCAATTAAAAGAATATTAAAACCACCACACCTCCTATAGTCAATCAATATAGCCAACTTATCTGCCAACATCCAGGTCCTGGGCAGTAGAATGTAGTCAATGTTGTGGCAACAGGGACTAGAACCCCAGAGAATAGAACACAGGGAATTTAGGGCCCTAGAACTTTGAATGGCTTGACAGTGTGCATAAAAAGCAACTGTCAGTTTCATGAAAGCTAGCTATAGTGAGGACATTTCAGGAAAACATGGTTCTTAAAATTGTCAGCTTTTCCCCACTGTGTTATTTGGAGCCTTTCTATAAAAAAGAAAGATTCATGATTATTTCTGCAAAGCTAAAAAGAACATGAATGTCATGAATTGTACATTCTTCCTCAAAGGTGATGCTGATGTCCTAACCCCTTTACTTATAAATATAGCCTGTAGGGTTATTTTTGTTAAGCTAATGAGAAAGTATTAGAACACGGTGAGTCCTAAACCTAGTCTCTTCTGAGTCACTGTCTTAACAGAGGAATGTCAAGAATTTCCCTGTGGCACTGTGGATTAATGAGCTGGACTGCAAAGACAGTCTGAACGGTAAGGTCAGAGATTCAAACCCAAAACCCTACACACAGGGTCATAATTGACTTGGTAGTTAACATCAACAACCACAACTAACAACTAGGACAGAAGTCCACAGAAGGAACTGATACAGTCAGGATCTTGATTTGAACTTTCAGTCTCCAAAACAGTCAGAAAATAGTTTTACTCTTTAAAACCACCATCTGTGGGTGGTTTATTAAGGCAGCACTAGCTCTGGTAGCGAAGAGGTTATGAATCAGGCTGTGAACCGCAAGGCCAGCAGTTCGAAACTACCAGCTGTTCCGTGGGAGATAGATGAGGCTTTCTGCTCCCGTAAAGATTTACAGCTTCGGAAACCCTGTGCAGGGTCACTATGCGTCAGAATCGACCTCACGGCACTCAACAACAACAACAAGGAGTCCTAGTGTGGCTCTGCGGGCTAATGCGTCAGACTGCAAAGTTGTTTGAACTGCAAGGTCGATGGTTCAAGCTCACCAGTTGCTCCTTGGAAACCCTCTACAGGATCGCTATGGGTTAGAATCGACTCGACAGCACTTAACAAGTTGCTTTAAAGGAGTCCTGGTGTGGCACTGTGGGTTAATGCACCAGACTGCAAAGTCATTTGAACTGCAAGGTGGATAGTTCAAGCTCACCAGCTGTTCCTCGGAAACAGGGTAGCTATGGGTTGGAACCGACTCAACAGCACTTCACAACAAACAAGTTGCTTTAAAAGGAGCTCTGGTAGTGTAGTGGTTCCGAGTCAGGTTGCTAACCTTAAGGTTAATAGTTGGAAACTACCAGCTGTTCTGCGGAAGAAAGAGGAGACTTTCTGCTGCCATAAAGATTTACAGCTTCGGAAGCCTTGTACAGGGTCCCTATGAGTCAGAACCGACTCCACAGCATATAACCACCACTACAAGATAATTTTCAAAGTGACTAAAGCGCTTTATAAAGTTTGATGTTATTGTAAATTGATTCTTTTGTAAATGCAATCATGAGTGAAAAATATACTCTAACTTTTCCCTCATAATTTCTTTCAAAGAAAAAAGTAAATGCAAATTTAGACATTTCTTCCTACCTGAAGATCTGATGAGACAGAACTGCCTCGATCGGAGTCATTTGGCAAAACTGGAGGTGAGAATTTTTCCTCATCTGAAGACATTCTGCACAAATACTACAAAACAGTAAAAGCTAATTTTAGTGTTTTTCCTCAATACTTCAAATACAACGAAGTGCTTCCTAGATATATTTAACTATAACAGCATCCTAGAGATGATGTTAATAACATAGTCAAGGAGACAAGACAAAAGATTATGATCACTCTTCTTAATCAATGTGCACAGCACCAAAACTGTAGCTGTAATTTTTGCAGGAAGGAACTCTGGTGGCTCAATGGCAACGCCCTCAGCTGCTTGCTGCCAGGTTGATGGTTCAAATCCAACCACGGCTCTGTGGAAGAAAAGACCTGGCAAACTGTTCCCATAAAGAATATAGACTAGAAAACCCAAAGAGAAGTTCTAGTCTCTCCTGTAAGGTCACTATGATTTGGAATCAATTTAATGGCTAACAACCACCATCTTTACAGGAGTAAAGTAAATTTACATTATCGACACTTTAGGCTGTCAGCTCAGTGCATAATCCTTGAACCATCTGGACTCCTTCTAGGAAGCTTGGTATGATTAGGCTTGATTTTGAGAAGGCTCAATCTAGCAGATCTGAGGATGGATGGATTAGAGGTGGAGTATGGGAGCTCTTATAGCGTAGTGGTTACGAATTGGGCTGCTAACCTCAAGGTCGGCAGTTCAAAAAACTACCAGCAGTTCTGCAGACCGATGAGGCGTTCTGCTCCCATAAAGATTTACAGCCTCGGAAACCCTGTGCAGGGTGGCTATGAGTTAGAACCAACTCCATGGTATTTAACAACTACCTGGGAGCCTACTGCAATCGTACATGGTATCAATGCGCCCTCCAGCAGTAATGCAGAACTGAGAGGCAGCAGTGGGAAGGGAGGAGGATTGATGTACAATAAACACTAGACAGTATAACTGCAAGGTTGGTGGTTCAAACCCACTAGCTGCCCCCTGGGAACCCTAAAGGGGTCATTAGGAGTCAGAACCAACTCGTTAACACTTAACAACAATGGGAAGGGAGGATACAAGAACAAAAGGAGGAATTGTTGATGGTTTTCAGATGTCTGCCTTGGGTGACAGAATATAGTGCCATTCACCAAAGCAGGGAACTAGGAAGAAAAGCTTGTTGGGAGGAACGACAATGAGTTGAGTATCAAATATTTTGGGGGCCAGGTGTTTGAGGGTCTGAGAACTGAAGGAGTACAGCACATGGCCAGACTGGCTACGCGTTGTACACCTCCAAAGACTCACTCACAATGGCTACAACTTCAAAGGTGCTTCCTGGAGTAGCGTGGGAAGATGTAGGCTAGACAGAGAATTTGAAGAATCATCAACATAACGGGGACCACTGAAACACGGGAGTGAATGAGATCACCGAGGAAAAGGAGCATGAGAAAGAGTTTTTAACCTGAGATCCATGGACCCAAATTATGAGCAGTATTTTTAATACAAATGCACATATGCATTTCTTGAGGAAGAGGGCCCTTAACTTTCTCTATGTGTCCACAGGGGACTATAACCCATAAACTAAGGACCTTCATTCTGCTCCTGCAAAGACTTGTTGTTAAGTGCCACTGAGTCGATTCCGACCCATAGTGACCCTGTATAGGGTTTCCAAGGAGCAGCTGGTGCCTTGGAAATCCTATGCAGGGTTGCAGTGAGTCAGAACTGACTCGAAGGCACTTAACAACAACTTTGAGTGAAAAAGAGGGTTGAAGCCTAAATGACTAACATTTAAAGGAGAAGAGAAGAGCCAGCGAAGACTGAAAAGGAAGTCAGAACTGGGAGGACAGAATCACAAGTTTTAGGGAAGACAGTAGTTAAGACTAAGATGGGAAAGAATGGAAAGTATCCCTAGAATTTGTAATCAAAAAGTTTCTGTGACATTTGCAGTTCAGTGGAAAGGGTAACAGGTCTCAAGCACAGTGAGATGAAAAACAAATGAAAGATGCGGAAACTAAGGTAGAAAGAGCAGATACAGTAAGGAGTGCAATATTGGAATAAAGATTATAGCTAGATTGTAAAGACCTTTAAAGGAAATTTCAACCTGATTTAGGATGCTTTTGAGTTATGGTGTTGGAGAATATTGAAAGTACCATGTCTGCCAAAAGAACCAACAGATCTGTGTTGGAAGAAGTGCAGCCAGAGTACTCCTTGGAGGCCAAGATGGCCAAACTTTGTCTCTCATACTTCAGTCATATTGTCAGGAGGGACCAGTTGCTAGAGGAGATCATGTTTGGTAAGGTGGAGGGTCAGAGAAAAAAAGGAAGACCCCAGCAAGATGGATTGTCAAAGTGGCAGCATCGATGGGCTCAAGTGTGGCAACAACTGTGAGGTTGGCCCAGGACCGGGCAGTGTTTCATTCTGTTGTGCATAGGGTTGTTATGAGTCGGTACCGATTGATGGCACCTAACAACAACTGTATATATGGAGTCCTGGTGTGGCACTGTGGGCTAATGCGTCAGACTGCAAAGTCCTTTGAAAAACTGCAAGTTCTGTGGTTCAAGCTCACCAGCTGCTCCCTGGAAACCCTACACAAGGTCGCTTTGGGTTTGAATTGACTCGATGGCACTTTAACAACTGTATATATGAAGAAGCTCTGGCAGCGTAGTGGTTACGAGTCGGGTTGCTAACCTCAAAGTCAGCAGTTTGAAACTACTAGCTGTTCTGGGGGAGAAAGCTGAGACTTTCTGCTCCCATAAAGATTTACAGCCTCGGAAATCCTATGCAGGGTCTCTATGACCACCACCACTACTGTATATATGAAATCCTGATGTGGCACTGTGGGATAAAGTACTGAACCGCAGGTCCATTTGAACCACAAGATCGGCAGTTCAGACTCACCAGCCACTCCTTTGAAACCCTATACAACGTTGCTGAGTCAGACTGCATGGCATTTACCAACAACAACATATGTAATTAACACATGATAAAGAAACTAAAACTCAAGTATGACGATCTTTAGTTAAGCCAATTGTTAAGTGTAGGTGAGTGGGCTCCTGCTCATAGCAAGGAGTGGCTGGTGGGTCTGAGCTGCTGACCTTGTGGTTAGCAATCCAGGTCCTATTCTACAGCCCCATTAAGGACCCCTAAGCCAATTGTTGGTTAGTAAGTTCCTTCCCACTGATTCTGACTCATAGCAATCCTGTATATGGTTTCTGTAAAGTGGCTGGTGGGTTTGAACTGGCGACCTTGAGGCTGAAACCGACTTTGTAGTCCATTGTCTATCCTACAGTGCCACACCAAGACTCTCCATAGTAACTGTTGTTGTTGTTAATTGCCATTGAGTGAGTTCCAACCCATAGCAACCCTGTCTAGGGTTTCCGAGGAGCAGCAGCTGGTAAGCTTGAACCAATGACCTTGCGATTCAAACCGACCTTATAGTCCAGCGCATTAACCCACAGTACTACAGCCAACTATTGTTGTAAATGCCGTTGAGTTGATTTCAACTCATAGCGACCCTGCATAGGGTTTTCGAGGAGCCACTGGTGAGCTCGAACTGCCAACCTTGCAGTTCAAATGGCTTTGTGATCTGAGGCATTAACCCACAGTGCCACACCAGGACTCCATCACAGTCAATTACGAAGGATAAAATAAGCACATACATTGGAAACAACGAAGGCTGTTTCACTGACTTCAAATCCACTACTGTGGTAACTTGGTCTACAAGGTGGCCTTAAAAGTTCATGGAAGAATGGCACTAAAAGATAATGGGATTTTCCCAGGAACTTCGTGACGTCTCCTTTTATATTTTCATCCATTCTTCTTTTAATGTTTGCTTACAGTCTAGGCAGGTAAACAGGAGCAAAGAGGGTGGTGTTGGTTATCTACTATTTGTCTTAGTGGCTAAAGAGTTTTTTAAGGGAGCTAAAGAGTTTCTGAATATAGATACTGTAGACCTAAAACAGCAACTGCACTTGTAGGAAATATGTTACAAGTCTTCCATTTGTTCTGCCCTGATGCCAACAAGGTATGGCAGTTTATTTAAAACCCTACAATAGCAGCATTTTTCTTACAGTTTCTAGATTCAGAAACAATGGAGGAAAAGGAAGCTTGCTTTAATGGGTGGCAGATGCACATGAGTCCATTCAATTCTTAGTATTCTTTATCCCAAGGTATCGGAGACCACAAGATAAAAAGTTTTGAGTGCTATTCTATTGCCAGAGATTTCAAAGGACATCTCAGTAATTATCTGGCTGGTAGAGAAAGGGTTTGGGAATTCAAATGTCACCCCAAGAAGGAGAAGAAGAGTAAATTAACGCGCAAGTTGGCAGCAGGATGATGTCCCCTGTGCCCTTTCAGGGTCCTCACAGCAAACAAGGAGAGGGACACGCCAGTTCCTCCCCACCTTCAATGACAAAAGCAGCTGCAAACAAGCAAAGGCAAAGGGTTAGAAGGTTTTTCAATCTCCTTTCCCATCCTTTTTTTTTGTATCAATTTCTTTCCTAAAAACAGCAAAGCTTTATGCATGGTTATTCTCCCCCCCCCCACTCTCCCCCGTTTCAAATTACTGGGACCAGACGCCACGACACATAACCACCACTACCACCAGTGGTGACAGTAACGCTTATTTCAGGTGGCCCTGGAGGGGAGAAGGTCTCGAACCTCAGACACCCCCATAGCAGCTGAATCGCTGCGTCTCGGGAAGACGCCCCAGCCTTCCCAGTGGCAGCCTGGCCGAGGAACCTGAACTTGAACCCCACTCCGCTACTTTAGCTCGAAACGCCCGGGCTGAAGCTACCCACCGTCACCGGCTGTCGACAGAATCCGGTCTCCACTCGGCGCCTCCTTACCGCGTCGTCGCAGCAAAAATCCCAGCGAGTACCGCCGCTACCTTAGCAGCCACCTGACAGTTTCAAACTGCAGACAGAGATTAAGGACAGCTCTGTGCATTGGTCCCGAGCTCCAGCAATCTGTTGGTTGATTGGTTCCAGTGTCGGGGGGCGGGGCTTTGAAATGGTTGCGGGCGAGGAAAGCCGGAAATTAGTTACTTTAACGAGGGATCCACGCCCACTCCCTACCCCCGCCTAAG